GTGGGCACCCGGTCCTAACAAGCGGCCTTTCCCCTCCCCGTGACCCAGCTCTGGAAAACCTGAGACACGACCCAGAAGCATCAGTGTGCATCTACGCAGCCCAGGCCCAGGACCACATCCTGGCCAGCTGCTGGCGGAACTCCTGGCCACTGCCGCACGGGGACTCGCGGGTGTGCGACCCGGCCACCATGCACCGCTGGAGTCCCAGCTGTGAGAACCTGCCCACTTCCCACCAGCGGCGCTCCTGGATCATGCAGGCCCTGGGCTCCTGGAAGATGTCCTTGAAGCAGTGATGTCCCTGAGCCCCCAGCCCTCCTCAGGGGTGGCCACAGCCATAGTCATGCCCCCATAAATGCCACATGGCTCACCTCTCCCTGTGAGTGTTTCCTCATGGGAGATGCCGTGGCTCTGTGCGACTCATCTGCAAGATGAGCGTGGCCTTCACTGTTGACTCGCTCAACATCTACAGACTCACACAGGCTGTTTTGTCCACATTTTATAGGTGGGGAAGAAATGCTCTGAGAGGTGAAGTGGCTTCCTCAAGGCCACAGGGCAAGTCTCCTGCATGCCTCAGTGTCCCCTCCCCCCACAGGGAGGGTAGAAGAACAAAAGGGGATGATGATTGGGGTGGCTTTAGGGGAAGGAAAAGGAGAGACTCTCCCACCCCGTGACATCGGCACATCCTGGAGCCCTGACCTCTGAGTCCCACTCTTGGGTCTCTGCTCGGAGACTGGCTGTCTCTTATTCGGGTCACATTCACTGAGCACCTAACCTGGACCAGGCCTGCTCTGGGTGCTGGAGGAGAACAAGAGTAGTCCCAGGCCCTGGTAATTCATACTCTGAAGCAGGGCTTCTCAAAAGGGGTGATTTTGACCTGTGCGGAATATTTGGCAATATCTGGAGACATTTTTGGTTGTTGGATGGAGCCCAGAGACGCTGCTAAACATCCTACAGTGCACAGGACAGACCCCACAGTGAAGAATTATCCATCCCAAATGGTCAAAAGTGCTGAGGTTGAGACACTTTGGTCTAATGGAAGTATCAGAGACATGGAAAGACACCAACAACCCAGTGCTGTGATGAAGGAACTCATGGGAGCTGTGAAGTCCAAAGGATGTACATAGGCCAGCAGGGAGTTGGGGTGTCAGGGAAGGCTTCCCAGAGACAAGACCCCCCATTAGGGGGCTTGGAAAGATGACCCCATGGTGGGCGTATGTGGAGGAGAGCGAGGCACACGGGACCGAGGACTAACTGCTGATACGTAGGTTCAGTGGATCCTAGAGTGCGTGTAGGGGGAGGAGATCAGGGCCAGCGCCAGGTCCCTCAGGCCTTGGAGGCTGTGTGAAGGAGGGAGACTTCAGGGAGCAGCGGGAAGGCCTGGTGTGGTGTTAAGCCAGGCAGAGATGTGTGCAAATATCGGCTTTAGAAAGCTGCTTCCTCTAGAGGATCAGGAACCCCGCAGACACAGCTGGTGGGAGGGCGGATGGCTGCAGCCCTCTGGACACGAATCTGTCACTGTTCAGTGGTACTAAGTTTATGCATGCTGTCACCTGGCACTTCCACTCGTGAGCGCACACCTTGGAGCTCGTCCCACAGGTCCCTAAAAGAGCCGTGTGAGGAAGTCTCCTGCAGCATTATCTGTAGTGCCTGGGAGAGGAGGCAGCCTGGGTATCCCTGGTCAGGGAGGGAATGGGCACCGTGGAGCCCATGCAGCAGTTAGAGGCTGAGGGGGTACGTGGTGCAACACGTGAGACCTAAAACCTCCTGCTGAGGAGTAAAGTACATAAAAAAATGCATGCACAAAAGAAGTCACATTTTGCAAGAACACTTACAAACTGAAAATACACATTAAAACACAGTGGTGGGAGGGAGTAAGGAGGAGGGCTCTGGGGCATAAAAGGGAATAAATGATAAAAGGGAGGGGAAGAACACTCACTCTGTGGTGGAAGGAAAGCTGGGGGAGGGCAGTGAACAAGGACGCAGGGAGACTTGGCCGGAGGCTTGGGGGAAGGAATGGAAGTCTGGACAGCAGGCTAGGATGGAGAGGGGGACCGGACCTTCAGGAGATGGGAGAAGAGGAATTTTCAGAACCTGGTGGTTGACGGATGGAGGAAGGGGGAGGGAGAGTGAGGTGCTGAGGGTGGTGCCTGCATTTCTGCGCCAATAACTGGGTCAAGGGTGTCCCCCCAATGGGTGGTCCCTCCGCACCAGAAGCAGGTTCAGGGGGAGAGAAGTTCAGGCTGGATGTGGTGAGCTTGCGGGGCTTGGTGTCACAGTAGTAGAGACATCTGCTGGGTGGCTGGCTGCACAGAGGGAGGCTCGGCAGAGGGACTTGGAATGGAAACAGGTTTGGGATTCCTCACAGACAGGGCTGAGGTGAGATTCCCTGGGCGAGGGTGTAGAGTACATTTAAGCTCCTGCTTGGATGAGGAACCCATGAAGTTGACCGCACAATCATCTGCCAATAAATGATAGGCCAAGACCAGCAGGGCCTACGAGGGAGCAGGAAATGGGGGTGGTCTTTGTGCATAACCTTTTCCATTGCCAAGAATGTTCACAAGCATGGCCTGCTTGCAATCTCACAGTAGCCATATGGAGTTATGGAGGAGGCAGGCTGGGTTTACTGCCTGTGTTCTACAGATGAGGACAGGGCTTGAAGATGAGTGGGCCTTGTCCGAGGTCACACACGAGAATCAACAGAAGTACGGGTCCCCAAGGTCTCCCAACTCCCATGTCGAAGCCCTTTCCACCCAAAGACACTGCTGCTTTCATTGGCCAGAACCTAGGTCTGGGCTGGCCTTGACAATTGACAGCTGCCACATTCTGGGTCCGTGTGGCTTTGAAGCACAACAGAGGCTGACAGTGTCAGTAATTGGCCAGGGCCCCAAATAGTCTTGAGTGGGAAGGGCCCAAGAGCACTCAGGAAGTCACTTCCCTCACTTCCTGAGCCTCCCCCATCATCACCTGTAAAATGAATTCTTGCCTCACAGGGTTTTATAGGAATCAAAACATGGAAGCCAAAGGATTTGTAGGCTCTGTACCCAAGAAGGGAAAAGACAGTTAAGAGGAGAATGAGAATGGGAACCATTAGGGAGCAGGCTGGAGGAAGAAGTGTGGAAAGGAGGCTCAGATTTGGAGGAGAGGAGGCCCTTGGAGCAGGTGTTCTGCTGGGCATGGGTGGGGTAGAAAGGGGAAAGACACAGGTGTGGCCCTGGAATGCTCACGGCCCTCTGTACGTCCTCCTTAGCCCTGCTGTATCTCTCACCCTGGGGTCAGATCATGACCAAGCCTGCCGGTTCCACTGCTGGGCCTCCCATCTCTTCTCTTCCCTGGTCTCTCATCAGCAGCCTTGTCAATCTCTTAATCCAGCCTCCCCCCATCAATCCTTCACCTGGCGACCCAGACCTTCCTAAGACAAATTTGCCCTTAGGTCTATCACTGGCTCACTATCCTCTGCAAGATAAAGGGCTACAAGATAAAGGCCTGACTGCCCTCTGGCCCCCATTCATCTTGCTGGCCTTTCCTCTTGACTCTTATGGTACCCAGCATGCCAGGCTCTTGCACACTGCCATGCCTCTCTGCACAGGCATTCTGACAGCTGCCTAAAATGCTCAACTCCCTTCCAGCCTCCAACCATCTGGGGAGACCTTCCTCATCTCTGCTCTCAGCTCTGCAGAGAAGGTGGGTCTGTGAAATCTTGCTGACTCCCTGAGGAAACACCCACCCTTCTGTGCCTCCACTGGGCAGACTTGTGAAAGGCCCTGCTTTAGATTGGCCTGCTGCCTATCTGCCTTGCCTTCTAGACCAGGCTGTGGGCCCCCTGAGGCTGTAGCACCCATGGCTGCAGGAGGGCGCACCTGGCCTGGAGATCTTGTTTCCGTCTCAGCTGGGGTGGATAGGGAGGTGGTTAACCTCAGAAATAGGCATGGCTGATCACATAGCCCCTTTTCTTGAAACTCTTCAGAAGGTACCACTGCACTCTTAGGAAGACCCAAGTCCTCAGAATCACTACCCATCCTCCCTCCTACCTCACCTACTCATCCCCCTTCTCATTTTGCTCCATCCACCCCCATCCCCAGCTCCCCTCCCTGGGGCTTGGCACTGCCAGCCCCCTCCCTAAAGAATGCTCCTCCCCAGACAGGCCCTGGCCACTCTGGGACTCCTCCTTTGCTTGAATGCATGTACACCCAGTTTAAACTGCACCCCCACCCCCTCATTAGGGACACCTGGTGGCTCAGTCAGCTGGGTCTCAAACTCTTGATTTCGGTTCAGGTCATGACCTCAGGATCGTGAGTTGAGCCCCCATCTGGCTCCCTGCTTAGCGTGGAGTCGGTTTGGGACTCCCGCTCTGCCCCTCCCCCTGCACACATGTGCACTCTCTCTCTCAAATAAAAAATTAAAAAAAAATAAAAACTTTTCCCCGATAGCTTTTGCTAGCACCCGACAACCTCTCACATCTTGTTTGTTTACTGTTTGTCTTTCCCCACTATCTTATCAACTCCTGGAGAGCGGGGGTTTACCCAGCGACCACAATGGGCCTGAACGCACAAAGAGCTTAGGAAACGTGTATTGACTGGCTGAACAAATGAATGAATGAGGGGCGTCTGGGTGGCTCAGTCGGTTAGATGTCTGCCTTTGGCTCAGGTCATGATCCCAGGGTCCTGGGGTGGAGCCCCACATCTGGATCCCTGCTGGGAAGGAAGCCTGCTTCTCCCTCTCCCACTCCCCCTGCTTGTGTTCCCTCTCTTGCTGTGTCTCTCTCTGTCAAATACATAAATAAAATCTTTAAAAACACACACACACAAATGAACGAAGTGATAGTGGGCACTGTGGGGCGCCGGGTTTATCCACCACCCCAAACACTCGGGGGCGGGGCGGGGCGGGGCGGTGGCCCGAAGAGGGGAGGGCGGGGCGGGGGAGGTGCTGGTTGGGGAGGGGCGGAGCCGGCGGCCGGGCCCCAGAAGGGCGGAACCCGAGGCTCGCGGGCGGGCGCGGCCGGGAGGACTGAGGGAAAGGCACACGCGCTGCCGGAAGTGGGCGCGCGGTTCTCGCGGTCCGGACCGTGGCGGCAGGGCTGAGGGGTCGCCATGGAGCAACTTGACCCGGACGCCGCCGGCGAAGATGCCATGGACTCGTTCCTGGAAAAGTTCCAGAGCCAGCCTTACCGTGGCGGCTTCCACGAGGACCAGTGGGAGGAGGTGGGTGGCCCGGGGCCCCGCATGTGTGTGGGGGCGTCGTCCCGACCCCTGGGGTTGGCTGGCTGGCGCCTCCCGCACCCCCTGTCCCCCCGGCCCTGCCAGCGGAAACGTGGTTTCCACCTGGGAGTGTTAGAAAATCGGACCCGGGGTTTTGAGGGCAGTCTTCAGCTGCCAGTATATTTAGGAGTCCAGGTTTTCGAGTCAGACAGACCTGTGACTCCACCATTTGCTGGCTCAGTTACTTAACTTCTCTGAGCCCGTGTCCTCATTTGTAAAATTTCCCTAACTAGAGCCACAGTCTCGTAGCATTGCGGCGAAAATGAAGGGAGATGGTGGGTGAAGTGCCGGGAACATAAGAGCGTTCAATTAATGGTGATTCCCACCGCCCTTGGAAGATTGTGAGCACCGAAAGAATCGTTAGAGATCCTTGCCCTGCGCTGTCATCTTACACGTGGGAAACTGAGGCCTGGTTAGGGAGAGAGATAGCTAACCATGACTTGCAAATCATGATGAGCAAGAAAACTTTGATATAGAGATGTGGAATTGGATCTACCCTGTGGAAAATCTTATTCCTATAGTTCATTTCTCTCTTCATCTCCAGGAATTTGAGAAGGTCCCCCTGTTTATGAAGAAAGCGCCATCTGAAATTGATCCCAACGAGAATCCTGACTTGGCTTGCCTTCAGTCAATTATTTTTGATGAAGAGCGATCTCCAGAAGGTATCTTACATAAGTCTAATATTTGTTTTGTGTGTCCATTGAATTGAGGTAAAGAGCGAGTCAGAAAGTTTCTGATAACAAGTAGTAGTTAGCCTGGGCTAACTCGTCACTATTTATTCCACATATACTCCCCCCCCGCCCCGCCATACCTACTAAATGCTAGGCTTTGGGGATAAAGGGATGCGTAAGATTGCCCTCAAAGGTCTCATGCTCCATTTTAAAAAAAAAGTCTCATGCTCCATTGGATAGCCAGATTGTCCCGTGTGTATGTGATAAGTACCAACATGTGGCTATGTACTGGGTGCGTTGGGAACACTGAAGTGGGGGTGGTAGGAGGGGGCTCACAGTGGATTGGAAATCTGAACTGATTCTTAACAATTTTGTAGGTTCTTACTAAGGTGAGGAGAGGGGAATTTGCATTCCAGGGAATAAAATATAAGCAAAAACAGAAGTATAATTTCCCTCTATTTCTTCAGTAATTAAAAAAAGTCCTTCAAGAGGTAGGATAAATATACTTTTTTTTCCTTTATGCATCTTTTTTTTTTGGTAACCATCCAATCTACCTTGTAAGATATTTGGAATTGATTGTAGCATTAAGTGCACATGACTTTGCTTCTCCATGTTGATACCCAGTTTTACAGGATTAATTTTGGAGTTTCCTTTATTGGTTTCTTTTTATTTGGTTTATCATATGTAACATTATGGTATGATTTAGAATCTATTTTTAATGAGACTTTAAAAAAATAGGAAATAGTGATTACTTACTCTCTTCTTTGCAGAACAGGCCAAGACCTATAAGGATGAGGGCAATGATTACTTTAAAGAAAAAGACTATAAAAAAGCTGTGATTTCGTACACTGAAGGATTAAAGAAGAAATGCACAGACCCTGATTTGAATGCTGTCCTTTATACCAACCGGGCAGCAGCACAGTACTATCTAGGTAATTTATTCTATTATATAGTGCTTTCTAAAGAATTAACTTATGGTAAAAGCCATTATGATGGCTAGTGCAGAGTTTGAGAGCGTCAGAGGAAGAGCTGCTTATCCCAGAAAGCTAGGCTAGTTTACTCTAGTTGAACGCTGATCTTCCAGGTAGACTGGCTGAAAAGGGAAACCAGATAGATTATAATTCTTACTCTCTGAACCAAATGAGTGACACACCTTAATACATGCATTGGTATGATCTGAGATTTTTTTTTTAGCCCAAATGCTTTTCAAAAAAAATGTGTTTTTGGCCTTTTACCCTCTTCTGAAGAATGCTAGAAGGATTCAAGCAAAGAGATGTTTGTGTGAGAGAAACTATATTAAAGGGAGAATTTTTCAGAGTATTCTGTGGAACCTGAAGTGAAAAATACTCTTGGGAAGGTGCTGCTGCTTTGTTGGAGATTGCAGTGCACAGTATGTTAAAGATGCTGAGATGACCTGCAGCAAAGAACTTTACCCTTTGATTCTTAAGTTTTGTAAGCCCCCTTTTCAAGTAACACTAACTAACATGCAGGACTCTTCTGCACGTGTGACTTTGGGAAACATTATTAAGGAGACCTTGGGCCTCTGAGGGGTTGGTAGAGAATAAGCCTTGCAGTCTAGCTGGGATGAGTCTGCTGGGACTCATCACCATTTGAGCAGAGTTTCTCCCCAACCATAGTCTGCTCCAACTGTTGTCTCTTTTAGCATGTTTCATTATAAAATTCTAAATAGTAAGAGTGGTATAGAACTTTAGAGATTATTTGGGCCAACCAACCCCTTCATTTTTTTTTTTTTAAGATTTTATTTATTTATTTGAGAGAGAGAAAGAGATAGAGAGCACGAGAGGGAAGAGGGTCAGAGGGAGAAGCAGACTCCCTGCTGAGCAGGGAGCCTGATGTGGGACTCGATCCCGGCACTCCAGGATCATGACCTGAGCCGAAGGCAGTCGCTTAACCAACTGAGCCACCCAGGCGCCCCCAACCCCTTCATTTTACACGGGCCCAGAGAGGGTCCCTCCGATTAGTGCAAGAACTTGGACTAGAAACCCATTCTTCTAACTTCTGGAGGAATACATTTTCTTCAGCAGATGAACTCAACTTCTTGTTCTGTGCTAGGCAGTGGTGTCGCAGAGATGAGTAAGATCTGGCCTTTTCCAGAAGGAGTTTCATTCATTTCTTTATTCAATCAGTAAATATATATAATATATTAAAAAATATATACATATAAAATATATATAAAGCATTTACTGTGTGCTAGGCATTGCACTGTGAGCAACAGCTACATAGTTCCTTTCTTTGGGGAACTTAAATACTGCAGGGCTAATCAGACCAGAAGAAGCACCTTGCGAGAAGAAAACCATGTGTGTGTGATGCCAGAGGAGCGGAGGCATAATCATCACAGTCATTCCTTAAATGAGATCTCACTGGTACAGCTTACAGAGCACTTTTTATTTGTTATCCCTCTTGACCTCACAGCACCTGTGTAAGGTAGGTGAGGTTAACAGCTTTATCCCTAGTCAGCAGAGTACACAGCTGAAGTAAAGTACAGTAAATTTAGTAAAATGAACTGTGTAAGGGTGCACAGTGCTAGGATTAGTATGCAGAATCAGGTTTAATTCCAAGTGCACTAAATGGAAGAAACCTTTACCCACCCTTCCAGAAGGTACCTGGTGCTGTCAGTTCCTTAGTCCTGGGTACTTTTAGGTTATGCAGTACAACTTGACAGCTTTGGGGCTTTCCCTCTGCTGCCTTAGAATTCAGTTTTCTTAGGCCTGATTAGTCATTTAACCATTGTCCCTTTGTTTTCGAGCTTTAAAATGTGTTGTGTTCTTACTCTTGTCTCTGTGGGTTTATGGCATTTTGGGGGGGGAGGGGGAGAGTAGTGGAGGTTTAGTTAAATCCTTATGTTCAATCTACCACCCTTAACCAGAAGTCTTTGGATCTCTTTTATATACATTTTTTTCCATAGTGAATATCATGCTGTTCTTCCAGTTTTGTATTCAGTTCTTTTCACTTAATTTTATAACATAAACAATTTCACCTGTCATAAAATATTTTTGAATACTATTTTAATAGCTACATACAGTTGCATCATTTGGACATACCAGTGTTTACACAGTTGGCTTTACTGTTCTGCTGTTATTGAGTATACATCTGCTTTTAGGTTTTTTAGAATAATGCAGTAATGAACATAGTGGTAAAGTTTTCCTACGAATTCTGATTATTCTTAAGGCTGAAGCCAGATTTGTCAAACTATGGCTCACAGGCCACATCTGGATTCCTGGCCTCCTGTGAGCTAAAAATGCCTTTTATATTTTTAAAGGATTGTAAAACAAGAATGTGTAACAGACCATATGTGGCCTGTAAAGCCTAAAATATTTACTATATGGCCCTTTACAGAAAAATTTTGCTGACCTCTGCACTAGATTTTTAGAAGTGAAAATAATAAGTAAATACCAAACTGTTAAGTAAATTTACAGTATAAACTAGAAAGTGAAAATCTACCTCATGCCCTTCTAGTTTGGATAACAGTGTGTTTGATTGCACACTTTTTTTTTTTTTTAAAGATTTCATTTATTTGAGCGTGAGTACAAGTTGGGGGGAGGGGCAGAGGGAGAGGGAGAAGCAGACTCCCCGCTCAGCAGGGAGCCGGACGGGGGCTTGATCCCAGGTCCCTGAGCAGAAGGCAGACGCTTCCCTGACTGAGCCACCCAGCTGCCCCTACAACACCTTTTTTTTTTACAAATATATATGTGTGTGTACATATGTCTGTGTATTTAGATTGGTTTGTTTTACAAAAAATACTGACATTTTACACATTGACATTATACACATAGAACCACCAGTTAAAACAATATAGCACAGGCATCCTGTCACGCCTTTTACGTGCACATGTATCTTAACCTTTTTAATGGTTGCATAGTATTTAGTAGTGTGGATTTACCATAGTTCATTTAATCATTACTACATTGAGGATATTTAGGGTATCACCAGTGTTTCACAACTCACAGTTAAAACTAATGCTGCAATTGACATGCTTTTACATTTATCCTTACATATTTGTCCAGGTATTTTTAAGGATAAGTTGTTAGAAGAATATTGTTGGGTCAGAGTATACGCACAAGTGCATACTAATTTGCTCTCTAATTTACCCTTAAGAGTGCCCTTTTCCATGTCTTCACCCGTCCTGGATATTACCTGTTTTTAATTTTTACCAGTTCCATGTTAATTTTAATTTCTTCAGTCACTGGTGATGTTGAGCGTCTTTTCATGGGCTTGCTAGCCACTTATAGTTGTTCTGTGGGCTTCTAGTGTTACAAATATTTCTAAGACTTGATGAGCACAACTATATTTTTTTCCTAAAAACTGTTGCTCTGATTTATATTTCTCTAAGACTATACAAGAATGTCTACGTCTCTACACATGAAATTTTGCAAATATTCTGATCTCAGTCTTGTTTTCTCTTTTACTAAATGGTGCCTGTTAGGCAATTTTCGTTCTGCTCTCAATGATGTGACAGCTGCCAGAAAGCTAAAACCCTGCCACCTCAAAGCAATAGTAAGAGGTAAGTGTTGTGGAACTATAGTATGATTGTCCTTATGGAAAAGTTGGCACTCACTGCACCAAAAGTTGAGGCATTTTAAGCTTTGATATTAAGGTGCTAAGATACTAATGAAGTCACCTTATTTTTGCAATCCTGATATTAAGTTCCTGGTCCTTATCAATAGCAACATGCCATTTTTAAAAGAATTTCCCAGAGAATAATATAACCCTTTATATTTTAAGAATTTGTAGAGAAATTGAAACTCCTCATTTTAAATTAGCAATAAAATTAATTAAAATAAAGCAGTTCCAAAAGCCACGTTCTAATTTTTTTTCCAAATTAGCTAATTGAAAGGGGAGATCTTCAAATGCCATGTTAATTAAAAGATAAGTTTTGGGACCTTTGCTGATAACTCTGATGCCGAGGTGTTCCCAGATTATATTTTCTTTTGTGGTCTGACCTTTCTATGTAATAATAGTGCTTATATTATTTTTATACTTTACCTTTTCTTTGAGAAGCTCAGAGGTGCTTTGTAAACTTTAATTTATTCATAACATATTAATCTTCCTTATAGTCCCATGATCGACTGCTTTATCATAAGCCAAATGCTTTACCAAAGTTATGCATCTTTAGGTATGCATAGTGAGGGGTTTGTATAGGTAGATCCATGTCCCTCAGCTGTAGGGAACGAAGGTACTGTTCAAAGATTGGCAAGTAAAGTCAGTGTAGTCCTGTGGAATTGGGACAAGCTGGAGTCTGTAAATCTTGAATTGTCAGTTTTACCTCAGCATGTGACCTTGGCAAGATACCCACTCTGAGTGTCAGTTTGCTCATCTCTGGAAGATGAGGTTGGATTCTGTTGACATCTAAGCCCTTAGAGTTCTGATATTTGGAAATTCTGTGGAAAGTCTAAAGAGGCTAACTGGAGAAGAATAAACATGGTGAGAGGAGAGGCAGCTTAACCTGGAAGCCATTAGGAACAATTTTAGGAGAGACCTAATGTCTTTGGTCTTGCCACTGCTTTGATGAGTGGCTGAGGTCAGTTCTGTTTTCTGTCTCTATTAAATATCTGAGATGGACTTTATTCTGATTTGCAGATGAGGAACCTGAAGCTTGGAGATGGTCAGTATTTTATCTAATGTCTAGTTGGTAAACAATAGAGCCAGATTTCCAGCCCAGATCTGTCTGACTCTAAACCCTGTGCTCTTTGCCATTAAGTTGTAGCCTTACCTACTTTAAAAGCCCTTAATGTCAGGGAGGCTTACAGGAGTTTTAAGCTGAATGGGCCCTAGAGATCTTTCTGATCTAAGGTACAAAAAATATTCTTCCTTGTCTGGGGAATGCAGTAGAAGGGGCTTTAATCATCTGTTGTCCCTTCAGAATGCTGGCTGGTAGCTGGTGGAGGTTGGGGACGGGGGTGGGGGGCGGTGGTTCCTGCTCAAGGAGAGCTCTTCCCATGCATATTGTCCACGTATTCTAAGGGTTCTGGGTTCTACAGGTGCCTTATGCCATCTGGAACTGAAAAACTTTGCTGAGGCTGTGAACTGGTGTGATGAAGGGTTGCAGATTGATGCCAGAGAGAAGAAGCTTCTGGAAATGAGGGCTAAAGCAGACAAGCTGAAGGTTGGTGGCAAAATCATTAGCCAGTTGGCATTTATTACTTAGAACTAATTAATTAGTATTTCCCAGATTGTGTCTTTTGGGTCATTGTCAACTTTTTCTTCTTTATTTTTTATTTTTTTTTTTTTTTAAGATTTTTATTTATTTTTTGACAGGGAGAGAGGGAACACAAGCAGGGGGAGTGGGAGAGGGAGAAGCAGGCTTCCTGCGGAGCAGGGAGCCCGATGCGGGGCTCGATCCCATGACCCTGGGACCATGACCTGAGCCGAAGGCAGACACTTAGCGACTGAGCCACCCAGGCGCCCCCAACTTTTTCTTCTTTAAAAACAAAACCCAAGGACGCCTGGGTGGCTCAGGTGGTTAAGCGTGTGCCTTTGGCTCGGGTCATGATCCCAGGGTCCTGGGATCGAGTCCCACATCGGGCTCCTTGCTCAGCAGGGAGCCTGCTTCTCCCTCTGCCTGCCCTTCCCCCTGCTTGTTCTCTCTCTCTCTGACAAATAAATAAAATCTAAAAAAAAATAAAAATAAAAACAAAACCCAAAACTATTCCCTACCTTTGGAACTCTGGAGGACACAAACAAATAAAGACATAAATAAATAGTTATAATGTGACAGAGGCAAGCAAGAATATATAGTACATATAAGAGTAGTATCTGCCGATAGCCGAGAAGGTTTGTTGAAGGAGGTGATATCTGATCTCTTGAAGACTCAGCAAGAGTTTACTCCACTGGAGGGTGGGGGTGAGGAGTGCAGAACATTCCAGAAAGGAGAAAGCATAACCATCGGCAAGTCCTTGATATTTCTGAAAGTCCAATCTTTGAAAATAGTGTACGTAATGTATGCCTCAACGGTTTTTATGAGGATTAAATGAGAATGTGTGTGTGTGTATGTTAGCACATTTCTTGACTTACAGTAAGGAGTTGATAAAATTTGTGGCTGTTGTGATTTGAATAAATAAGAAATGGCACAAGACTGCCATAATGTAGTCTGCACACTATGTAAATCTCTTGAAAGGAGAGGAAATGACAGAAATATTTAAACAGGGGCACCTGGGTGGCTCAGTCGGTTAAGTGTCCGACTCTTGATTTTGGCTTGGGTAGTAATCGCAGGGTCCTGGGATCGAGCCCTGCATTGGGCTTCCCACTCACCAGGGAGTCTGCTTGTCTCCTCCCTCTGCCCCTGTTCGTGTGTGCACACGCCACGCTCTCTCTCAAATCTTTAAAAAGAACATTTAAACAAACACTTAAGTTTCTACAATATTATGTAACTCCCAGCTTTAAGACATCTATAACTTGCTGATGAAATGCACATAATAGCACCTGATGATAATAATACTATCACTACCAAAAATAATGTCCAGCATTTAGCATTTACTGTGTGTATCTTCCAGTTGCTATTTAAAAATTTTTACTTTTATGAATTCATTTAAACCACACAACAACCCTATAAGGTAGGAACTATTCTAATTCACCTCTCAGTAGTGAGGTAGACTAAAGCACAGAGAGATCAGGAAGCTGCCTGAGTCACATAGCTGTGGTGAAGATGGGTGTCAGAATCAGGCAGTCTGGCTCTAGAATCCTATGCAGTACTGCCTTACCTGTCTATTCAGTACAAAGCCAGAACTAGACTTCAATCTGATTCCTGGTCTAGGTCTGTCTTCATTACTTACACTACGGAAGGGGAATTTTCAGTGCTGTGGGAGCCTGCAGCTCTCCGTGCAAAGGGGTAGGTTTTAGAGGTCATTCTGGTCATATAAAATGGTAGAAAAAGTAGATAATCTGATGACTCACATGGCTCGGTAACAGAATTCTGAGCCTAGGTAACTGGGTATAGGCCAGAATTTCTAAAAGCGGTGTATACAGGAGAGAATGTCTAAAGGGCTACTGCGGAAGGACATAGCCAAGTGAATCCACGGAAAAACCCTTAGTGGACCTAAATGAAAGCTTGCAGATCCTGTAGCACGGGCGCAGTTTTTTTTGTTGTTGTTTTGTTTGTTTGTTTTTGCAGATATCTTTTTTAAAATTTAAATTCAGTTAATTAACATACAATGTATTATTGGTTTCGGAGGTAGACATCAGTGATTCATCAGTATTATACGATACCCAGTGCTCATTACATCACATACCCTCCTTAATGTCCATCACCCAGTTACCCCATCCTACCACCCTTCTCCCCTCCAGCAACCCTCAGTTTGTTTACTGTGATGAAGAGTCTCTTATGGTTTGTCTCCCTCTCTGATTTTGTCTTTATTTTTTCCTCTCTTCCCTCATGATCCTCTGTTTTGTTTCTTAAATTCCACATATGAGTGAAATCATATGATAATTGTCTTTCTCTGATTGACATTTCACTTAGCATAATACCCGCTAGTTCCATCCACGTCATTGCAAATGGCAAGATTTCGGTTTTTTTGGTGGTTGAGTAGTATTCCATTGTGTATATACCACATCTTTTTTTTTTTTTAAGGTTTATTTAATTATTTGTCAGAGAGTGAATGAATGAGCGAGTGTGCACGCGTGTGCAAGAGCACAAGCGGGGGAGTGGCAGGCAGAGGGAGAAATAGGCTCCCCGCCCGATGCAAGACTCAGTCCCGGGACCCTGGGATCATGACCTGAGCTGAAAGCAGACGCTTAACTGACTGAGCCACCCAGGCATCCCCATACACCACATCGTCTTTGTCCATTCATCTGTCGATGGGCGTCTGGGCTCTTTCCACACTTTGGCTATTGTGGACATTGCTGCTATAAACACTGGGGTTTATGTGCCCCTTCGGCTCATTACATTGGTATCTTTGGGGTAAATACCCAGGAGTGCAATTGCTGGGTCGTAGAGTAGCTCTATTTTCACCTTTTTGAGGAACCTCCATACTGTTTTCCAGAGTGGCTGCACCAGCTTGCATTCCCACCAACAGTGTAAGAGGGTTCCCCTTTCTCTACATCCTTGCCAACATCTGTTGTTTCCTGACTTGTTAATTTTAGCAGTTCTGACTGGTGTGAGGTGGTATCTCATTGTGGTTTTGATTTATATTTCCCTGATACAGGTGCACAGTTAAAGATTTCAGGGCCCAAAAGCCTGACACTGGGTATGGGTGACATTGCTTGCTGAGTGTCAGTTTATTCTGTATCTGAGTATAAATTGACTCTGGATTCCTACGTGCTTGGCTTGTATAAACAATGTATCTGATATGCCTATATTAAAATCAGAACAGCCATTAAGGCAATGAATATTACCAGAAATAAAGCATGGCTTTGTTAAATGATAAAAGGGTCAGCTTATCAAGAAGATTTAACAATTCTAAATATGCACGTATCTAAGAACCTCAAAATATAAGAAGCAAAAAAATTGAGGGAGACAAATCTACAAATAGGTGTAGATGTCAACATCCCTCTCTCTCAGTAATGGATAGAACAAGTAGATGAATCAGTAAAGAGAAGTGATGTCAGCAAAAATGGCCAAATAAAGACCTAAAATTCTTTACTTCATAAAGTCTATGGAAAACTGGCAAAAATGGTCAGAGTCACTAACTTTTTTCAGAGCTCTGAAATGAGCCAAAGGCTTGCAGCAATCTGGGGAGTGTTTATTCAAGAAAAATGGCTGCACCTGCATAAGCACGGCAAGCTTTGTGACACTTTAACTTCCCCTAGTCCCACCTCCTCCCTCCCTGGTACCACAGTAGCCTTGAAAGAATCATGGTGAAAATGAGCAGCCCAGCAGCCACCAGAGGAGGCAGATTGGATTAGAGCTCGTTCAAAGCCCCGTTCCCAGGGAATTGCCATTATTGGACCATCTGGGCGGTCTCCTAGAAGACCCCACTCATGAGGCAGATTTTATTTGACTCATCTTGGTGCTGTCCCAGTATGAAAAGCTTTTGGGGGGGGGGCGGCTGGGAAGGAGGGATGTGTAAAACAATTAGAAGCAGTTATTTAAGATTGCAGCTGCCTGAGATAGTGAACAACAGGGCAAACAGTAGGCTTAGAAGAATATTTAAAAGGAAAAGCTGGGGAATGAGATTCTTCAGGGGCTTTGAAAAGCTCCAACATATTCCAGGAGATCTGCAAGGTCACTTGTGTGTCCAGGGCTATGCATGTGCTCAGAAAGGATCTAAGAAGGCCTAAGTTCTGACCTCTGGCTGACTTGCAGTCTCTGTAAAAGTAGTAAGTGAAGGCTGAGGCTGAATTGTAAACTCTTTGGGTGAGTGTTGAAGGTGTGCCACAATATGCACAAGAGAGCCCCTCAGCTAAGAGTGGAGACTTTTTGGCTTTGGGCATTTAGGGAAATCTGTCAATCATTAAGGACTTTAGTGGTCACATAAAACCAAATACAGGCTTTACAGAATTAGTTCAGGAAAGTAAATAGTAACAACAGCAGTGTCAAACACTGGAGAGGAAAGAGACAGAATCCAATTTCCAGAGTTGCCACATTGTATTATTTTAAATGTCTGGTTTTCAATTACAAAATTCCAAGACATGCAAAGAAATAAGAAAATATGGCCCATACACAGGAAAAAAAAAATCAATAGAAAATGTCCCTGAGGAAGCCCAGACATGAGACTTAAAAAGCAAAGACTTTAAACCACATGTTGAAATATGTTCTAGGAAGAAAGAAAGCAATGTCTTAAGAACTAAAAAAAAAATATGATAACAATGTCTTACCAAATAGAGACTATCAGTAAATTGTGAAAAAGAATCAAACAAATTCTGTAGTTGAAAAGTATAATAATGGAAAAGTTCACATAAGGGCTCAAGAGCAGAACTGTGAAGAAAGATCAGTTGTGATTACCCAGTGTGAGGAACAGAAAGAAGAATAAAGAAACATTAAGAGAGGTGTGTCTGGGTGGCTCAGTCAGTTGGGCATCTGACTCTTGATTTCAGCTCAGGTTAAGATCTCAGGGTCATGGGATTGAGCCCCACGTCAGGCTCTGCACTCAGAGGGGAATCTGCTTGAGATTCTCTTCCTCTCTCTCTCTCTCTCTCTGCCCCACCCCCCACACCCGTGTTCTCTCCCTCTCACGCTCTCTTTAAAATAAATCTTTTTAAAAAAGAAAAGAAACATGAAGAGAGACTGAGGAACCTGTGGGATGCCATTAAGTATATCATCATAGACATAGGAGTCCCAGGAGAGGAGAAAGAAAAAGGGACAAAAGAATATATGAAGATTTAATAGCTGAAAACTTCCCAGATTTGATTTAAAAAAAATAAACTCCAAGTAGGATATACTTGAAGAAATCTACACCCAGACACATCATAATCAAACTGTTGAAAGTCAAACATGAGAATGTTAAAAGCATCAAGAGAAAAGAGACTCTTCACATACAAGAGATCCTCAATGAAAGTAACAACTAGGGGATGCCTGGGTGGCTCAGTTGGTTGAGCATCCAAATTTTGATTTTGGCTCAGGACATGATCTCAGGGTTGTGAGATCAAGCCCTGTATAGGGCTCTATGTTGGGCGTGGAGCCTGCTTAAGATTCTCTCTGGTCCTCTTCCTCTGCCCCCTCCCCCAAAAGTAACAGCTGATTTCTCATCAGAAGCCATGGGAGCCAAAGGGCCATGGGTTGACATTCAGAGTGCTGAAAGAAAGACTGTCAGCTAAGAATTCTATATACCGCAAACCTATCCTTCAAAAATGGCGAAGAAAAGGAAAACTCTTTAGGTGCAAATGATATGATCTTGTATATAGAAAATCCTAAGGAATTCGCTAAAAAAACTATTAGAACTAATAGATTAGTAAGCTGGTATGATACATTAATATACAAAACCCAATTCTATAGACTTTTGGTAAATATTCCAAATATGAAAACAATTCCATTTACAATAGCGTCAAAAAGAATAACATATTTAGGAATAAATTTAACAGAAGTAGCATAAAACTTATAATCTGAAATACAAACATTGTTGAAAGAAATTAAATCTAAAAAATAGAAGACCTCCATGGATCAGATCTTAATATTGTTAAGATGAGAATGCTCCCTGGGCGCGTGGGTGGCTCAGTTGGTTAAGTGACTGCCTTCGGCTCAGGTCATGATCCTGGAGTCCCAGGATCGAGTCCCACATCAGGCTCCCTGCTCGTCAGGGAGTCGTCTTCTCCCTCTGACCCTCCCCCCATCTCATGCTCTATCTCATTCTCTCTCAAATGAATAAATAAAATCTTTAAAAAAAAAAAAAAGATGAGAATGCTCCCCAAATTGGTGTACAGATTCAGCTCAGTCTGCATCAAATTTCCAATTGGCTGCTTTGCAGAATATTGACCAACTGATTCTAATATTCATACATAAATTCAGGGGACTCAGAATAGCCAAAACAATCCTAAAAAAAAAATAGAAAGTTAGAGGACTCATACTTCCCAATTTCAAATCTTACTACAAAGCTATAGTAATCAAGACATTGTGGTACTGGCAGAAGGGGAGAGACTTACAGATCAGTGTAATAGAATTGAGAGCTCAGAAATAAACCCTCATATTTATAGACAGTTGATTTTCAACAAGGGTACCATTCAGTGGGGAAGGAATAGTCTTTTCCATAGCTGCATGAAAAGCATGAATTTGGACCCCTACCTCACACTATATACAAAATGGATCGAAGAGCAAAGAAAAACTCTTCAAAGAAAATGTTGGCATTAATCTTCATGGCCTTGGATTAGGCATGGTTTCTTAGATATGACACAAAAAGCACAAGAAACAAAAAAGATAAACTGGACTTCATCCGAAGTAAAAACTTGTGCATCAAAGGCTGCCATTGAGGAAGTGAAAAGACAACCCACAGGATGGGAGAGTATTTATAAATCATATATCTGTTAAGGGACCTTTATCTAGAATATATAAAGAACTCTTAACATTTCAATAATTAAAAGACAACGCCATTTTTTAGATGGGCAAAGGATGTGAACAGACGTTTCTCCAAAGAGGATACATAAATGGCCAAAAAGCACATGAAAGATGCTTAACATTCTTAATCATTAGGGAAATGTAAATCAAAACCACAGTGAGATACTATTTCACGCTAGGATGGTTATAATTTTTTTTAAAGGAAAATAACAAATATTGAGAAGGATGTGGAGAAACAGAAACCTTCACATGTTGCTGGTGAGAATGTAAAATGACAGCCACTATAGAGAACAGTTTGACAGGGATGCCTGGGTGGCTCAGTCAGTTACATGTCTGCCTTCTGCTCAGGACATGATCCCAGGGGCCTGGAATTGAGCCCCACATCAGGCTCCTTGCTCCACAGGGAGTCTGCTTGTCCCTCTGCCCCTCCCCCTGCTCGTGCTCCCTCTCCCTCTCCCTCTCAATAAATAAATAAAATCTTAAAAAAAAATTTTTGACATACAAAATTAACATGAGAACCAGCACTTCCACTCCTAGGTATATACCCAAAGAAATTGAAACAGTATTAAAATAAATACTTGTACAAGAGTGTTCATAGCAACATGTTCATAATGGCCAAAAAGTAGAAACAGTCTCAAGGTCCACCAACTGATGATAGATAAAATGTGGTATGTTCATACAATGGAATATTATTCAGCCATAAAGGAGAATGAAGTATGATATACAGTGCAATGTAGGTGAACCTCAAAAGCACTATGTTAAGTGAAAGAAGCCAGATTTATAAAAAATCACATATTGTATGACTCTGTATATATCAAACATCCAAAATAGGCAAATCTATAGAGCCAGGAAGCAGAATAGTGGTTGCCAGGGGCTGGGGACGGCGGGAAGGGCAGAGGTGTTTGCCCAAGAGAAATGAAAACATGCTCATAAAAAGACTTATGTATAAGAATAGTCACAGCCTATTTTATTCATAGTAATCCAGAAATAGCTCTTGTGTCCAACAACAGGTAAGAGATAAGCAAAGTGTGATACTCATACGATGAGATATTACTTGGTATAAAAAGAAACCTATCAGTGATGGGGTAGGAGGGAGACTGCAAAGGGGCATGAGGGAACTTTCTAGGGGATAGAAATGCCCATCTTGATTGAAGTGTTGGGTACTCAAGGTATACCCTTGTCTAAACTCATTGAACTATACACTTAAAATCTGTACATTATACCTCAACAAAGTTGATTTTTTTTTTTTTTTTAAGGGCAGCAGACTCCACAGCTCAGGGCTCCTCTGACCTGGTGGTCATTCTACTTTATGTGGCTGCCAAGACCCCAAACTTCATATGAGACTTCATAATCCACATCACTCACATGTATAGTGTGAATCAGAGTAAAAACAATAGGGGACAGAGTCTGTGTCGTCCTTAATCATTCTCTGATATGGACCAGACACTGTGGTTGGATGTAGCTCAACTGTAAAGGCAGAATTGGACATAGATTTTAGTGGTGTCCGTGGGGTGGAGTATTCTGGATAGTGTAATCAAACAGCAGAAAGGAGTTTTGCAGCTCTGTTGGCAGACTGGATTGGAGAAGGAATGGACAAGAGTTACCAGCCATTGTCTTCCTGAACGGGTAGACTTTGTTCACTAGAAATAAAAGATCCATGTTAGCCTTTGTGGGGAGGATAAGGGATGGTTGGTACTATATTTTAGATCAGAGGTCAGCAAACTGACCCCCAGGCCAAATCCAGCCTATGGCCTGTTTTTATACATTCTGTGAATTAAAGATGTTTTTCACATTTTTAAAGAGTTATAAACAACAAAAGTAGATAATTTGTGACAGAGAGCATACATGGTCTGCAAAGCCTAAAATATTAACCTCTGGCCCTTTACAGAAAAAGTTTGCTGACCTCTGTTAATCTACGATTCTGAGGGTAAGAGCAGAATCAACTGGTTTGGGGCAGATCTGCAAGAAAAGGAAATCTAAATTATATTTCTGCCAGATTAAGTAGACTGATGATGTTTTTCTGTCATGGATTATAATTGGGCAAAGGGCAGAGCCTCTGATAAGTTCTTGCCCTGGGTTTTTCCAGTGTTTCCTATACTCCAGCCATTCCAGAGAAGTTGAAATACCCCATAGATCCTGATGTCAGTCCCTCTACTTAGAATGCCCTTTCTCCTTCCATCTGGTGGAATGTTCCATGTCCATCTAAACCTGCCTCCTCAGTGGGGCAGAATCCATCACTCCTGTATTTTATAGCACTGGCTTCACATCACCAGGGTAACACATAACGGACATTTAATTGTTTGTCCCCCTTAGTAGACTGTGAGCTCCGTGGGTACGGGAACTATACATTTTTAAATTTCTGCTGCCACCAGTCCTGGCACCAGACGTGCACTCTTAAAATATTAATTGAACTGAATCAGGCCGCTGGTATTGCTTGACACAGGAACCCGGGTTGGACAGATACTGGAGATAGTAAGAAGCAGGCTGGGGTGACAGAAGAGGAAACAAGCTCCCTAGAGCTGATGGGTGTGAATTTCATTTTTAGAGAACTGAGCAGAGGGATATCAGGAAAGCAAAGTTGAAAGAAAAGAAGGAGCAGAATCAGAACAAGGCTTTACTCCAGGCCATCAAGGTGAGTTCTCAAACCTCAGGCCCATATGGTCTTGCTAATCCTCAAGCTTGTTGGGAAACTGTTTTGGGATGCTTTACCTGAATGAATTTGTTCATTTTTGCTTTGGTGAAGCAGTGTGCTAAAGGGGCTCTGGAGTCAGACCCCCTGAGTTCAGTCAGCTTTCCTGCTTGTGTACGTATGTTGATCTCAGGTAAGCTACACTGGATAGTTGCTATGGGTTAAGCATTACTAAATCTTCACAGTGGCCTTCTGAGGTAGATCTTCTAGCTACTGATTTGCTAGATAGTGATGTGGTCTCAGGGAGGTGAAGAAACCTCACACAGCTAATGTGTATCAGAGCCAGGTCCTTGCTCTTAGCCACTGCATCCTGAAAAAAATCTGAATTTTTAGGATGTTGCTCCTTTAACCACAAAAAAAATTCAACCCTGTCCTTTCTTCCTGCATTTTAAATGGATGTAGTCTGAGCCAAATCTTGTTTTTTCACCTGGATACTGAATACCAGCAAGTCACCTGTGAAGCTTTGGCTTGCTTGGTCTTCACAAGGGAAATGACACCTGCCATGAGATTGTGGAGTAGGTTCTTGGTTTCATTCTTTGTTGAGTTAAATTATGCACCATTTAAGTTACTTGTTGACTTTGAGAACTTCACACTATTAAGATGCACTCCACTAGTCCCTCCCCATAACAAGCAATCTCTTAACTCCTGTTAACAGATTAAGTGGGATGGAATACTCCAGATTCTCTTGCTAATCATTCACAGTGAGAGATTTGGTCACATTCTAAAATGTAGAATATTGGAATGCCCATTTGCATACAGATCTGATTTTGGCGCTCTCCTTTAGTTTGACCCTGCATCTCAAGCTTCATTGTACGTAAGAATTACTCTAACAGTCGTATACACAGAACCATATTTTACCAGTGGTTTAAAGCAGGAGCCAGTGGATCTGTAGCCAGTGGATCACAGCCCTGCCTATTTGTTTATGTTACTTATGGCTATTTTCACACTATGGTGGCAGAGTCAAGTAGTTAATTTCAACAGAGACCATTTGGCTCGCAAAGCCTAAAATATTTCTGTCTGACCGTTTAAGGAAAAGTTTGCCAACCCCTGATTTAGCATTGTCAAATCAAAAGTAATTTTGATTGCATGTAACTTTCCCCTCGTGTGCTAGCCTCCACACACATACATAAAGAGACAACTCTTCTGTTCAGACCTTTGATTTATCTTTATTCCCATGAGACAGTCAAGATTAGGTCAATGTGCATTATTTTTAGTATTCCATGTCCTAGCTAAACCAACACACTTGCCATTTTCGTATGTGCTACACTCTTGATCTCTTCTGTGCCTTTGCATATGCTGTTCCTTGGTGGTGAATGCCTTTCCATCTTCCCCCGACCCTTCCAACTTCTCTGCCTGAGAATAGTCATTGCTCAGGGCCCAGTCATCTCCAGCCCCTAGGCTGAATTAATTATCCATGGTCTGCACTTCTGCAACTCCACTTCTTACCTTATGTTGTACTTATTTCCATAGTTGTTCGCTCACTAGACCATGAGCGGGGTCTTGAGGGCAGGAACCATGTCTAGCTTTTTTCTGTGATACAGGGTCCAGCATGTGTTAGAATCCTGGTGAAGGTGAGTAATCCCTGCTGTGCTAGGCCTCAGGGGTAATGAAGATGAATTGTGTAGAGCTGGCCTCAGGGAGCTCAGAGTACGGTGGTTTCCCTGCTGTTGCAATGGGCTTGCATCCTTCCACACAATAAGGTTTGTGTGTATTTCTGTTTTTAATCCAGGCTAGGAACATCAGGCTAGTCTCTGAAGCTGCTGGTCAGGATGAAGATTCAGACTCAGAAGGTCTAGGTGAGCTTTTCCTGGATGGGCTCAGCTCGGAGAACCCCTATGGAGCCAGGCTGAATGTAGACGAGCAGGGCAGGTTAAGCTGGCCCGTGCTCTTTCTGTACCCGGAGCACGCCCAGTCGGACTTCATTGCTACTTTTCACGAGGACTCCAGGTACTTACTTGCCCAAGAGCCCTCTGTTCTTGCTGGCATGCTCTTTCCTTGCTGTCTCAGCAGAGGGACAAGTGGATTTTTGGTTGAGGAGGGAAGAGAATAGAGGGTTAACAGTCTGGTTTGGCATAACCTTTCTATCCTGAAGCTGATTTCTCCTTTTACTAACTGTAACTAGCTTTGCAACGACAGACACAAGTCTCACCATCATCCTGACTGGGCCAGTAAGTAGAGCACCACAGTATTGTTTGTCAAGCACTGACACATACCTCTGGTGAGATACGAAGTCATTCTAGGTAGTATATGCATAGTAATTGAAGTGTGTATTAGAAAAAATATAACTAGCAATTTTAACATGTGATTTCATAGGGTTGGTGCTTAGAATGTGGCTAAATGTAAAGAATATTAAGCCTGAGTCAGTTTAAAGAAAATTACTATGTCATAACAGGACAAGTAATACACATCCATTTTGGCTTAAGTCAGATGGTTTTGGCTCAAAATGGCTTAGGCCTGCATTTCATGTTTTGTACATTTTTGATAGCTCTCTGAATGGGTGTCCAGGGACTGCGATGTAGGAAAATAGATCATGACTTATTGATACCTAGAAAGTACATGTTATATCCTTAGGTTTATTGATCATCTAATGGTGATGTTTGGTGAAACGCCCTCTTGGGACTTAGAGCGGAAATACTGCCCTGATAATTTAGAGGTGAGATGTTTTACCTTGTTCCTGGATGGGATATTTTTTGCAGGGGGGTGAGGGGAGCAAGTTTTTACTGCCTTAAAAAAAAAAATTGTGGGCGCCTGGGTGGCTCAGATGGTTAAGTGTTTGCCTTTGGCTCAGGTCATGATCCCAGGATCCTGGGATCGAGTCCTGCATCGGGCTCCCTGCTCCTTGGGAGCCTGCTTCTCTCTCTGTCTCTCATAAATAAATAACTAAAATCTTGAGGGAAAAAAAAATTGTGTCGGGGCATCTGGGTGGCTTAGTGGTTTAAGTGTCTGCCTTTGGCTCAGGTCATGATCCCAGGGTCCTGGGATCAGGCCCCATGTTGGGCTCCCTATCATCCCAAACTGCAACTCTGCACCCATGAAACAGTAACTTCATTCTCCCCTCCCTCCAGCCCCTGGCCACCACCATTCCACTTGCTATATGAATGAGCCTACTCTAGGAACCTCATAGAAGTCGAACCATATATTGTTTGTCCTTTTGTATCTGGCTTATTTCACTTAGCTTGATGTCTTCAAGTTTCATCCATATTGTAGCCTGTGTCAGAATTTCTTTCCTTTTTAAGGCTGAATAATATTCCATGGTTCCATTGTTGGGACCTTTTTTTTCTTTTTTTAAATCACATCTTACAGTACAAAGACTTTCTCTTCTACTAACCATTTGAGAGTAAGATGCCAACTGATGCCCTGAATACTTCAGTGTCAGTTTCCTACAAACAAGGATATTTTCCTTCATAATCCCAACCAACTATCAAAATTAGGAAATTCACTTTGAGGAAAAAAAAAAAGGAAATTAGCTTTGATATACTAGTGCCGTCTAATTCTCAGACACCCTGTATCAGCTGTCCCCACGCAAGGACACCCTTCTCACCCACATGGGCTCTGACACCTCATCTTGCACAGCCATCCTAACAGGTAACCCTTCTCACCTGGCTTAGGCTCGCCAGCTCCCAGCAAGGCTACCTTCCACTGACCGGGCTCTGGCACCCCTCCCTGCCAGCCCTTCTGCACAGGCATCTTCCTCACCCTGCACGGGCTTTGACACCTGCACAGGGCCATCATCCTTCTCCTCCTCCTCGGGCCCTTCCCCTGCTTTGGGCCACCATAGCTTGCTTCCCCCACATCTAAGGGGTCTAGGACTGAATTGCTAGGGAAGGGAAGACTCACGGGTCTGGGCTTGAATCTTGGCTCCTCTGTTTGCTAGGTGGGTGTCATTGGTGAGTTATTTCCCTTCTCTGAGCCTTCGTTCTATCTTTGGAAAATGGAGCTCATAATACCTTTGTTGGTATCATGGGCGAGGACTGAGTGCTTTATATTCCACAACTCATTCAACTAATAACAGTTGCCATCTCTTTAGCTTTTCCCTAGACTTGGCCTCAATGTGCCTAGTGCTGCTGAGGCCTTATATATGTGTCTGGTTCCCGCTCCTCTGTTATTCTTGCAGGTCTACTTCGAGGATGAAGACGGGACAGAATACCAGGTGCCTCTCAAGAGCACGCTACTGCAGGTGCTGCAGCACCCCAGGTAAGCTACCTTCATGAGGCTGAGTAGACCAGGGAAGATGCCCAGGCGCCATCCCAGGGATACAGCCAGGGTTTCATTCCACTGCTGTTGGATTGCCTTGTACTCCCCTCCCTTCCACCCTGACACAAAACTGTGAGATGGCAACCATGGAGCCTGGCCCAGGTCATTGGCCAAACAGACTTCAGTATGACTCAGCCTGTTGTGCTGCAGCCAGGACACCCTCAGACTGGGAGAAGTGAGTGGGGCTGGTCTGAGAAGGGACAAACTGCCTGGCTACGGGACCTGAAAATAGCAGGGTTGGCACTCCTGTTCCTCATTGTGCCTGTGTCCCCTAATATTGTTATGTGGAAAGAACATCAGTTTGTGAAGTCAGACGCCATCATTTGCCGGCTGTGTGACTAAGCACATACTGCCTCCCTGGGGAGGTTTCGTCATCTTTCGGGTAAGAGTACTAATTCTTGCCTACATTGTTCTCTGGTGTCTGGGAGCCGGTGAGAGAGTAGGAGTCAAAGTGCTTTTGTAAACTGTAAAGGGCAGTCTTGTTGTAAGAGTGCATCTTTGTTAGTAGCTATGGCAGCCAGCTGGATGTGGCTTTTGTCTCTTTGTTCAGCTTTGGGGTGTTCCTGGACCATAAAGGAATCCCCTCAGTGGATCTGTAAGTTGACTCTTGGACTGTTTTCCCCTAAGCTTTGAGCAAAGCAAATGCTCTTGCATTTAGGCTAAAGGAGCCCGACGTATTGGGCATGAGGGTGGTTGGGCATGGTAGGAAAGAGGCTGGAGAGCTGGGCTAGGGCCATTCACGGAAGCCTCGACTGCCCTGCTCAGGAGCATACTTTATCCTGATAGTGGTATATGGAGCCACAGAGGATGTGTAGGTAAAATTTATAGAGTAGTGTATAGATTTTATGTGTACTAGTTGATGGTGAAGCATGAGGTGAGGGGTGGATTGGCAAAGAGATTTCAGAGGCAGACTGGATGGGAATTGGTGATGTGGTGACTGACCTGGTAGGAGGTCCAGCTGGTCTCTTGATGCTTCTGCTTTGGCTTGTCAGGCAGGAGGTGAAGATTTCTTCAGATATCAATGATGACTTCTCTTAGTAGGGTTTTTTTTCTGGCACTAAATCTCCGTTCTAGTTTATAGACAAATTTTTTCCATTATTTAGTGAATTATTACCATAATTCTTTAAAGGCCTGAGGTCCATTCTGCCCATCTCCAGAAAATGGGGGAGAAATCTAAACAAAGTAGATCTGTGGAGGAAAGCCAATTTCATGCTTCTCAGAAAATGTAAATGCTGTTGGAAATGTTTACTTCTTAAATGACTGGCATAGTAGGAGGCTACTCAGGACAGGATTCTGGCAACTTCAGGCCCTGAACTGAGTGGAGCTAAGATACAGCTCCCGCCCCGCCTTGGTCCAGATCTAAGCACATTGGGTAATGCTAACACTCTTCAGTCTGGGAGGCTAAAGCCTTGCCCACCTCTCCGACCTGCCCCACTCCACTTGCTTTTTGCCCCAACAACAGCAAATGCTCTGGTGCCCTGCACTTCCTCGCTTTTGCGCCCCTGTGCCTCATCACTACCCCTATTCTAAATTAAAGTCAAGATGGACAAGGCATCTTCCAGGAAGCTTTTCTTGATTCCCCTTTCCTATAGAGGGAATCATGCCCTTTGGACTAACGCTGTACCTCACAAATGCTTCTGCGATTGTTTTTGTTGTCATTAATTACTTATCTCCCTCCCCTCAGGACTTGAAAGCAGGGATGATGGGTTTTGTTTTTAGCACAGGGCCCAAGTTACCCTGGGCATGCACTGTTGAATGAAGGAATGAATGAATGAAAGCAAACAAGCATGTTCTTATACTTTGATTTCATGTTTAGCCACAGGCATACATGATGCTAGAGGACTGGGCCAAATGTTCTGGCTAGGTTGTAGGGGGGAGAGGATCATGCTAATTTGACAGATATGTAAACAACCAAAAAAATAAATGTGCTAAACTTTCATTTTAATGTTGACTCACATCCAAAGGTTCACCTTGAATGTGGTTGGGGAGGTGCATGGATGATTAAGATCGAAATTCGATTAACCCCTTCTTCTGTTGTGTTCACTGCAGGTACTTTGTAAAAGCCCTGACACCAGCATTTTTGGTCTGTGTAGGATCCTCTACTTTTTGTAGGAATTACCTCCAGGGGAAAAAAGTGCACCAGGTGAAGTAACCAAGCCAGGCGGAGCCAGGGCCCCTGGATCTCCTCCCTCATTCGCCTCTGCCTGGAATCCACCACCTTTGAATCAGCTGAGCCCTACACTTTATTTCTGCCACCCTGGGGATAGTGGTGGGGGGAGAGCTGCTGACTTCCCTGAACTACATTCTCTCTGGTCAAAGTGCCAAGCTCCAGCTGGTCTCCACTCTCTTCTGTTGATACACAACTCTGTACCTTGGTCATGACATCCTTGGACTCACTGTGAGCTGTGTTACCACCAGCCTCTATCCCTGAAGGGACCATCTTACAGTTACCACAGCAGCTGACCTAAGGAAGTCCTGGCCTGTGGACACGGACTCAGGATCCAGTTGGCTGGACCTTTATGATGTTAGAGGCCTCAGAGAAGCTACCCCTCAAATCACACAAATAATTTTAAGGCATTCAGGCTGAGGGACTCCAACCTCCAGGTTCTCGTGAGCCGAGAGGCTTGCTCTTTGGGGATACTGTTGTTCTTGGAGTGAGATGAGGTCACGAAAGCTGGCTCCTGTTTTTGCACCTGTAAAGACCTACAGACTGGGATCCTGCAAAACCCCTAGAAAGTTTACCGGTTTTCTGATCTGTGTAGTAGGGCAAACTGACAGACTTGGATGGTGGACTCTTGAGTTCCTCTCCAGTTTTCACGTTTTAGGATTTTGTGCCTTTTAAACATCTTTTGGCAGTTGAGTCATTGTCATAGGTTGTATTTTTATGTGCAGCTGTCCGCTCCCTCTTTCCTAGAGAATGTAGCCACGGGACTGCTTGCAGTGTCTGCCCCATCCCACGGGGGAGGCAGAGGGACGGGGGTGGGCTCGTCCAGACCAGAGGTCAGAGAGCATTGCGTGGTGCATTCATGCTTCCCAGCTGGCAGCTGTTCCATCAGCCTGGGTGCCAGAGTGGTAAGACATGGAACAGAGCTGAAGGAGCTGACCTGCAGCCGTTGATTGTAACGTGAATGAGAAATAAATGAGATTTGGGGGTTGTTACTGTAGCAAAGCTAAGTAAGACATCATTAAACTGAAACCAGCTGCTGTCCTTAAGATGGACTAATTTGAGGTTTTGTGCCGTGTGCTTTACTGTCTTTGAAGGGCAGTTTGCTGTGGAATATTGACAACCATGCAGCTTTCCTTCCAGATGCGGGTCCCTGCACGTGGCTTGTGGCCTGGAAGCTGAAGTCCCGCCTCCACCCTCGCCTGGCTTAGGTCATACCGAGGCCATTGGCTCTCCCAGCTAGAGACTGGCTGTTTGGCTGTCTTTGTAAGAACTCGGCACCCTGTGAACGAGGCCGAACAATTGGCCCCCAGCAACCCTGGCGGCCAGTGCAGCAGCCGCACTGTCCTGGGGCAGAGCGGGTCCCGGTGTGCCCTTACTCATCTGTGCAGCAGACGGCTTACTCAGCTCTTTCCTGGACACCCCTGAGAAACCAAGTTCTGAGACCTTCGTCCCTACCACCCAGTCCTTTCTTTGGGCTCCTGGCTGGGCCCTGCCCCTCTAGCTAGGGAGAAGTAGAAAGGGGAGGAGTGACTTGGCATGACAGACTGCAGACCACAGCTGGGACCCTGGTAGCTGCTGACTTGCTGTGCCTGTGAGGACGGACTCCTCGGAGCCTCCCTCTCAGTGAGTCACCACACCTACCTGAGAGGCTTGTCCATCGCACCTCTGTGCAGGATCAGCAGCATCAGACCAGCAAGTCTCAACAGGGGTGACTTGCACCCCAGGGCACACCTGTCAATGTCTAGAGACATTTTTGGTCATCACAACTTGGTGGGATGCTACTGGCATCTATGGGTAGAGGCCAGGGATGCTGTTAAATATCCTAGAGTGCACAGGACAGCCCCCACAACAAAGCATCGTCTGACAAACTGTCAATAATGCTGAGTTTGAGAAACACTGCACAAAAACTTCCAGAAGGAAAGCTCTCAGTGGGCAGAGGCCAGATGGGGATTTTGTCTTAGTGCCCAGGCCTGACACACAGTGAGTGTGACACATAGGGAGCTGTGTGTGTGTGCGCTGATGAGTGGATGGATGAATGAAGGAACTAATGAATGAAAAAAACCAGAGTTCTGTTCCAAGGACCCATCTGCACACACACAAGCATGAGCAATGGCATTCCTGGGCTCCAGCCCATGTGCCTGCCTTGCACCCTCTCCAAGAAGACTTCTGCCTCCCTGACCCATGGGCCCTGCCTTCTCTGACCTCCGCCATCTTCTGGTCTCTAGGGGAGTGGTAGAGCGCAAACTGAAGAGCCGGCCATGGAGGCAAGGACTAGAAATAAAGCCACAACAAGCAAGTCCTCACCCCTGCTGGGAGCCCTCAGCGGCTCCCCCTTCCCTCATCAACATGCTTGGTGTGGCACTCAAGGCCCTTTAGGGTCTGGCCCCTAACCACCCCTGCGGCTTCCTCACTCCAGCCTTAGCCCAGCCATCCCAGACATGGTTCAGCTATGGGGCAGGAGGGTGCAGTGGCCTGAGTCTCACCTCTGGAGCCAGGCTACCTACCTTCCAGTTCCAGCCCCGCAACTCATTAGCTGATGGCCTCAGGCCCCGTGCCTCAGTTTCCTCATGTGCAACACAAAGAGCATAATAGCACCTCCCTCACACAGGTGCTGCAAGAACTGTATGAATTAATCTACGTGACACCCATGGAACAGCTTGCCTCTTAAGTGCTCACTCTAGCACAATTATTTTTTTACTTTCCAATCATGCCATGCTCTTAGCTTTGGACCTTTGCACATTCTGCTCCCTCTGCCTGGAGCATTCTCACTCTCACTTGCACCCTTGCCTCCACCCCCAACTCTTCCTCCCTTTCCTGTTTAACATCTAGTCTTTAACCAGGCCTGGCTGCCTCCTCCAGGAAGCCTTCCTGGCCCCCTATCCCGCATGTCCCATGGCACCTGTACCATTACCACACTTGCCACACTGCATTTTAATTGTCTGCTTACTGGATGGTTCCTCCCACTTCTTTGTAAACTGAGTCAGGGACGCTGACCTGTGCACATTTGTACGGCCAGCATCCAGCCCAGCACCTGCTCAGCACATAGTAGGTACACAAATAATTAGCCGATGGCCCAGAGGAAGGGGTGGTGAATTCTAAGCATATTATGGGTGGAAGCCACCACCCATGATGGATAGGGGCCATGAAGTTGGGACAAGGACCTGGGAAGGGTGGTGAGTGTGGGTTGGAAAGACCCCGAAGCAAAGGCAAGGAGCATGTTCCAGGGGGCGTGCATAAGTGCCCTGGCTCATTAGTAACAGCTGCCATCTACTGAGCACTGAGGATGCGCCAGACCGTGTTCTCAGTGCTTTATGGGGACTGGCTCGCTCACCACCTGACACGGAGGCTAGTAGTTTACAGTACCATTTTACTGACAAGGGGTACAGAGAGGCTAAGTAACTTGCCCAAAGTTAGTTAGCTAGCTAGTGACAAGCAGAGCCAGGATTTGAATTCATGACTCCCCTAAGCCCTTCAAGAGATACCTGCAACAACTAGACTGGGCCTCTGCCTTTGAAGAGTTGGCATGAGATCCAGCGGCCCTTTCCTGTTCACTCCAATGTTGTGGTCAAGTCTTGGCATTCAATGTCATTGCAATGTCCCCAAACTGCCTGGGCAGAAGAGTCTAGCCTGCAGAGCCAGACTGCCAGAGCCTGCAGCAGACTCCCCACAGCACTCGATAACCTGCCAGTAGGGCTCCTGTCAGCCCACGAGCTTTCTGGGTGAGCCTGAGTGACAAGTTCTTCCCTTGCAAATGGCGTGTCCTCAGTCACCATTAACCAGTAAGTGCTTCCTCCTCACTCTCCTAGCCCTACAGTTTTATTTAGCCAAGAGCAATTAGGCTTTAACCATGGAAGCTCATTAGCAGCCTTCAGAGCGGCTGGCTTAATAGAGTGGACATCATCCCTGCACCAAAGTGGTATCTGAACAGGGGGACCCTAAAGATGCCACCCCGTTCTGCTGGCCCACATGCACCCCCCCCCCCGCACGACATGCAAAGGGCTAACTGGCCCTTAGGCAGCTGCCACTTACCCTGCTGAGCACCACTGTTGTCCCTGTTGCACCAAGGGAGCGCAGGAAGCGTGAGGAAGCATCTCGCACAAGGTCAGATAGCTATCAAGTGGCCTAGGCAGTCTGACTCCACAGTGTCTAGTGTGGGTCACTATGATGTAAGTCATTAAGTGCAGCATCTTGAGTTTTTTCAAGTTTTAAGTTTGCAATAACATAAAAAGTTTACCATTTTCCACATCATAAAACTTTTCCTAACTCTAAAAACCTTACATGCCCTTGGATGCATAGTAATCCATTCTAAAAAGCATTCTGGCATCTTGGTGTAGAAATGGATGGTGGGAACTCTGTGAAGTTCCCTGGCACTCAAATAGTTAAGCAAACGACAATTTCAACAGATTTCTGCAAAATGTCTTTATTGATAGCCCAGCAGGTGTTTCTTCCATTAAAACACAGAATATTAATGGAGCCCTTGATTTACATTCTAGGCTTGATTTACACAATGGTTTTGTTATGCACCAGCTTTTGTGCCCAAGTATTAATTCTGCTAAATATTTCCCGGCCAGTTGCTTCTAGATCTCCCCAAGGAATGAGCAATGATAATACATCCTATGTCTGTTATTTTGCCAGCATCCCCATTTCATCAATTTATAGCAAGAGGTAACACTGGCAAATTCGGACAGGAGAGAGTAAGGTACATGGTCTGAGTATCTGTCTTTCCTCTAAGGCGATGGAGCCATTCCATGGGTGTCACTTAATTCTTGCTCGTGGCACTCCCCCCAGGAAGGTTATAAAGCATCACATCAAGAAAACTAGATCCAGCTCTTGAGATACGTTACCAGCAGATCCTAAGTCGTCTGGTGTGAAGGAAGTGTTTCCTGACAGCACAGGGTTAAGTATTTCACGTAAGCGAGCTTAGGCAACCCCCTGGGAGGTGCACTGCCATGAGCACATCTTACAGATGAAGAAGCTGAGACGCATAAAGGGCAAGTAATTTGTCTAAGGTCACACCCCTGGTAAGTGGCGGATCTAGGATTATGTCTCTTCCAGGTTCTGGTCTTTTCCACCAGAGCATACTGACCCTGGCTTCTTAGAAGACACGCTGGCTTAGTAATCAGGACACCTGGGTTTCCGTTCAGCTTGCCCTTGGGCCAGTCACTGTACTCCCTGTATTTGTCTCCCTTGGAAAATAAAGAACAGCACCTGCTTCACACCTACAAGGCTTTTGTAGTTCAGAGGCTGATCTAGCCAGACTTCTCTTGATGCAATAAGATGGACCAGAGGTTGCCTGATTTAGGGGACACAGCTCTTGGCCTGCAATCAGGTGTTCTGCCAGTCAGATGGTGTGTGGCAGGTTAATTCCCACCCCAGGCTTGCTTCCCATCTGTGAAAGGAGGGATGGACAGGCGGGCCCCAAGTCCTCCTGTTCTAAACTTCCATGATTCTGTATCGTCCTCAAACTTTTCTGTAACTCGAACATTTATGAAGAGTTTAAAGTTAATTGGTTCTCTATTCCTGAAACCTGGTTTTAAAAAGTGCTTACATTAGGCTAGCCCTCCAGCTTCCATAAATCAGCTTATGGGGCACAAATTTAAAATTAAAAAAAGGTGAGTGGGAGGTACAGGCTTCCAGTTATGGAAGGAATAGGACACAGGGATAAAAGGTACAGCACAGAGAATACAGTCAACGGCATTGTAGTAGTGTATGGTGACCGATGGTGGCTACACTTGTGGTGGGCACAGCGTCAAGTACAGTTACTGAATCACTATACTGTACACCTGAAATGAATGTAACCCTGTGTGTCAACTATACTTCAGTAAGAATTAAATTTTTTAAAATATTAAGACACCAATTTGCACAAATTCTACGTGCTCATCTATCTGGGGCTAACTCGATTAGACAGACATAAATAATTCAGTTTTGTTTACTGAAATCACTTTTGTCTAGGCAGAGGCCATGCAGTTGTAATGGGAATGGCGTAGGTGTTGGTCAATACTCGGATTCTAGTTCTGATATTGTGCATCCTCAAGTTGCTGAATGGAGCTTCAGGTTCCTCATCCGGAAAAGAAGAACAGCACCCACCTTGCATAGTTTAAGGTATGAAAATGATATATAAAAGTGCCTCACGGCACAGTGGTATGTGGCAGTCCCTCAACAAATAAATGAGCAGACCATTAAAAGCAGAGAGCGTACATCATCTGATAATGTACAGAGCAAATTACTCAAAGAAACACTCAGCTACAAAGCCGCTCAGGGACGGCCACTGCCCGGAAGTACGCTGGGAACCATGAATCAACTCTGTACATTAGAATCATCTACGGAGCTTTAAAATGCATGATGCCCAGGTCACACCCCAGACCCTAGCCAGAACTGGGTGGGACCAAAGTGCAGCCAAGGGGAAGGTCCCCTGACTTACAATCCAGCCTTTCTAGGTTTGCTCTCAGAATGAGCATCTCCTGGCCCAAATGCTGGGCCCAGAGCGCCAGTGGTAGGCCTGGGGGCCATCAGGGCTTGCCACGTACATTAACTAGGAAACCTGATGGTGTGTGTTTGGGCAGTAACCGCAGGAGCAGTAACACGCTGCTGGGAAGCTGTTTGGCAGGTGGGACAACTGGCTAAGACAAGAAGTGCAGTATGCTGGGGTGGCTCAAGCCTGATCCTGGTTTCCCACAGAATTCAGGCAGACACCTTGATATGTGCCCCCTGGCGTGGCTCTAGGACCCAGCTCTGCTCCCAGGACAAGCTCACCGTGACACCTGAAGCCTGCTATCCCTCACATCTGGGGGAAGAAATGGTTTCAAACATACTCCCAGCCACCAAAGGTAGGGTTTTTTTGTTCGAGTAGAGTGTAGACATAATAGAAAAAGAAAGGACAGAACAGTCTCAGGTAGGAAGCTGCTCACAGTGAAAATGGCAGGCCTTACCACCGTTCATTAACAGGCAAGGCTCGTGCCAGTAGCCTGACTTTATTCAATCAACAGAACAGGATCTCTGCGCTAAGCCACCTCAATAGAGCCACATCTCTGGAGGTGGTTTTTTGGGCGATTAGCTAATTCTATCAACTCTCTATGTAGCTTAGACTATGGAGGATCAGAGGAACCAGGTCTGCCTGTCATGAACCTCCTGTGGAACCCACCGGTGACAGCTGTAAGGACTTTACACATCTAGTTCCATTTTCTCATGTCATAGATGGGGAATTTGAGGCCCCAGCAGGAGAAGGGACTTGTCCAAGTGGAGCAGGGCTGGTGGGCCTGCTCTTCAGACCAAAATGCAGCAAGGGGCCAGGGGTCAGACTGCTGGAGCTGGGAGGGCCTTGGCCACCAGCCACTCCCACCCTCTGCATGGGAAACTCAAGAGAAGGGAAGTGACTCACCCGAGGGCCAAGAGGAGCAGCTCTTTCTTGCCCCCCTGCCTCCTCACAGAAGCCTCCACACTGGAATGAAGAGGAATGGTATGTGGCAGCAAGGTCAGCCCAGAGAATGGAATCACCAACTTGAAATACAAATAGTCTAAACAAAGGACTGGATAAAACTCAGTTTCCCTAACACGCTCCCGCGTTCCATGAGCTGCCTTGTTTCTGGAGAGACCGGCCCTGGAAGGGAGTGTAGGAAAAGGCAGCATTAGAATGAACACCAAGGCTGCAGGATGGGGTGGGAGTGGCTTGGGGCTTTCAGACAACCTGCACTTGGCTCAGAAATTCCGTGACTCCCTCTCTGGTGAGGAAGACCACCTCACCGGTGTTCTGGCTCCAAACTTCAAAATGTGCCGGGTCCTCCAGGGCCCTCTTGCCCGCGATGATCACAAAGGGGTAGCCAAACTTGTTGGCGTCTTTTAGTCTGTTTCCAATGGTCCGATGGGTCCTGTCATCGAGCAGGACCTCCCCACGGAGCTGCGGCAGGGCCTCCATGATGAAGTCATACAGGTGGTCCATGAGCTCGGCGGCCACCTCCTCCTTACTGCCCTTCTTCGGGGGGATGAGGCACACCTGGTAAGGCGCCAGGAGGCCGGGCCAGCGAATGCAGTCCTCCGTGGACAGCACTTCAATGGCAGCGGCCAGTATCCGCGTCACGCCTAGGCCGTAGCAGCCCATCTCGGCCAGGCACGGCTTGCCCTGGGCATCAATGAACTGGGCATTGAAAATGGAGGAGTACTTGGTGCCCAGGTAAAATGTGTGCCCCACCTCGATGCCTCTGGCCTCAGTTAGTGGGCCCCGGCAGGCCGGGCAGTCAGTCTGCAGCCAGCGCAGTGTCTCCGTGTTGGCCGAGAAGCCGCAGCCAGAACAGACAGCAAACCGGTCCTCCCCGATGTCAGCCGGCAGCTGGAACTCGTGAGACGCAGTGCCCCCGATGCTGCCCACGTCCGCCCGGACCCTGATGCACCGCAGCCCCAGCCTGCGGAACAGGCTGCCGTAGGCCTCGCACACCAGGCCGTAGGTGTGCTGGGCAGCCTCTGGGGAGGAGTCGAAGCTGTACATGTCCTTCATGTAAAACTCCCGGCCGCGGAGAAGACCGAAGCGGGGCCTGGGCTCGTCCCGAAACTTCCTTGTCACCTGGTACAGCAGGAACGGGAGCTGCTTGTAGGACACTGTCTTCTGGGAGGCGACCAGGGCTGTGACAGCTTCCTCGTGAGTGGGTCCCAAGCAGTATTCCTTGCCGTGTCTGTCTCTAAGTCTTAGCAGCTCCTTGCCCATGAGGTCCCACCGGTTGGTGGCTCGCCAGAGCTCCCCTGGACTGAGGCTGGGCATGTTGACCTTCTGCCCCCCGATGGCCCGCATCTCCTGGTCTATCACCCGCTCAAGCTTCTCCATGGCTCGCACAGTGTAAGGCAGGAGGTGGTAACAGCCGGGGCTTGCTGGGTGGATCAGGCCCACCTGCAGCATCAGCCTCTGGCTCTTACAGGTCAGGTCGCCAGATGTGCCCTCGAGAGAGAGCACCTGGTCTTCCCGAAGGTTCTGGGGCTGGAACATGCGAGACAGCACCAAGCGCTTCCCTCTCTCAGGGTCACAGTGGTAAAACCTGTGAGGACCGGACCCAGAGAGCTGGTGGCTGCAGATGGCCAGGACGGACAGTGCTCTGCATCTTGACAGCAGGCCTTTCATGACACCCGGCCCAGAGAAGCACTTGTGCCTGGAGAGAGATGAGCCGAGCAGAGATAAGCGTTAACGGTGTCCTGACACCGAGATGCAGCCAGCTCAGTCTGGTCTTCAAAACACACTTCTAAGACAGCCACCGACTTTGCAGATGCAAACCCTTTCATTTCTAATTTTCTAGCAGATTCAAGTCCTACCTTTTGTTAAAAAAAAAAAAAAATCAATATTTTCCCATTAATAAAATTTTAACAGCATACTGTGGAGAGACACCACTGCATGGGATCGCACAGGCTCTGGACTCGGGCAGCCTGGATTCCTGGAGTGCTTCTTGCTGACTGCACCCTGTGTAGCTCAGGACATGTGACTTAACCCCTCTGTGCTCAGTTTCTTCATCTGCTAAATGGTAATACAACAGGACCTACCTTGTAGGTTTATTGTGGGGATTTAGAAGAGTTATAAAAAGTTAATAGAACAGATCTGGCACATTCTATGAGTACAATCAAGGTTTGCTATTGTTACTACAGAAAACTGGGAAAATCAGAAACAAATTGCTGCTGGCCTCATCAATAGCCCTTTCCCTGTTCCAACTGTGCCATGCTCACTCTAAAACACACTGTGCCCCTTGCATAGCTACTTATCCTCCGGGCCTCGGGATCACCATCCTGTCTTCTAGGATGCCTTCCTTGTCCCCCGCCCCCACCCAGAAGGCCAGCTTCTCCCACAGCAGCCCCTACTGATCACCGATCACTCTCAGAGTGACTGCTCAGGTTAGCTGCCTGTCTTCCCCCCAGGCACGCAGCTCTGTGCGGCCAAGGACCATATCTAACTTGCTTGCCACTCAGCACGGAGCAGGGCTTTACTAGACACTGTCTACCGAATAAGCACATGTGTTTCTCTCTGATTTTACAAAACATTCACATTCCTGATGGCAGTACAACATTCCATTAAGCATATCAGAAATGATTCTCCTACTACAGAGAGTTGTCATTTTCTCTGTTATATACAATCTACAATGAACAGAAAGCTTTTGTTTGTTTGTGGTACATCTGGGAGAGATTCTCAGGAATGGAATTACTGAATCAACACATACGAACTCTTTTAAGGTTCCTGATTTATATTGCCAAGTTCGGTGAGCGCCTCTACCTTTCAGCATCTCCCATGAAGCAGAGCTGCCCTGCAGTATGCTGAAAATGGGTTGCTGCCTCCTCTCAGTTCTGGAGCCTGGAACCCTTGGGCAGCCCCCTCCAGCTCTCGGTGGCCTCAAGTCCTCCAGCTGGTCCCCTACCACCTCAGGGAAGCTTCATCCATTTCCCCCGTGCACAGTACAAATATTACCATCTCCTGTAGGGCCTGTGGCCTGAGACAGGTTGGAGCACACTACCACAGAGCCGTAATGGGACTGAGTGGAAAAGTGTGGGCCCCGGAGGTAAGTACACATGGTTCACATCTGGCTCAGTCACTTACTTCAGGTCCCACCTCAGGCCAGGGGCTCACACCAGAAACTCCTTCCTCCTTGACTCTCCTAAAGCAGACGAGTCTGTCTCTGACCTTCCTCTCAAGTCCACCCCCTCCTTCCTGGCTCTTACTGCCTCTATTCTGGGTTAGCGCTTCAAAAATGCTTGGTCCATTACAGTAGCCCAGTGGTTGTGAAACTTAAGTGAGCATCAGAATCACCTGGATGGCTTGTTAAAACACTGATTGTGGGGACTCAGCACCAGAGTTTGATTCAGTAGGCCTGGGGAGTGGGCAGCGAAACTGTAGTTCTAACAAGTTTCCAGGTGATGCTGATACTGTTGGTCTAGGGACCACATTTGGAGAAGCACTCCATGTGGGCAGTAACTGGGTCTTATTCCAAGTTGCATCTGTAGCATTCCGCACGGGGCCTGCCCACAGTGGACACTCAATAAATATCCATCAATCACTGAACTGAATGACTCTTGAACCCTGTCTGTCCCGTCTCCAGATTACAGCTAAAAAGACAGTTGATCCAATCACTCCTCTGCTTATAACCCATGAATGGCTCCCCATCCTAATTTTCTTGGGATGGTTCTTCCATAGGAAGCCTCTTCATATTTTGATCCTGACACACCTCTTCCAGCTTTTTATCCTACACCACTCCCCTAACATGCCCCAAACTGCTCATCATTCCTGGAAGAGGCCAGCTGCACCCCATCAACTGCAACATTCAAGGCTCCTTATTGCAAGAAGCTTCTCCAACCGCTCCAAACAGAGATAATTACACTTCCTTCTCTGTGCCTCCACTGCACACACCTCTTTATAGTTTACGGTTCTGGAATAATTTTCAAAAATATTTCTGAGAAACTGCTGTGCCAGGCACTGGGAGTGAGCAAAGCTTCATGTCCTATTCCTCCATTAAACGAGTAGTTCCTGATGTTTTCTACATTGTCAGATTTCAAGGCCTAGCACAATGCCTAATATTTAGGCTATTAATAATGTTTGCTGAACAGATATAGTGAATGAAAAGCAAAGTGAAGGGGTGCAATGCGACAATTATCTGGATAGTTTAAATAAAAGACGTGAGCCTTCTGCCCTCACCCCCAATGTGTCCCTGTTCTCAGACCCCTCAGCTTACACAGAAGGGAGAATAATTACTATTATCCCAAATTCTTAAGGTTATCTACAGACAGTACCTCAAAAACAGTATAGGAAGTAACGTGTCCTGCACCTCAGACTCTGGCAAAGAGCCTCTGAGTCATTCAGTCATTCAACAGATTTTTACAGAGCGGCTACCCAGGTCCTTGGGGCACAGGCCTCTTCTAAGATTAACTCACAATGGCCCCGCAATCCAATCACGCAAGCTGTGCGTAAAGCGCTTCCAACAGCGCCTGGTATATAGTAAGCGCTACAGTGTTTGCTATCATTATGCCAACTCACAGACGAGGTAAACTCAGGGATGTGCGGTCACCGGACCAGCGACACTGCAGATGAGCACAGGGCACACCGGGAATGCTAGGTCCTCGCCTCCAATTTCCACGGTTTCCGTCTCGGACCGTGCTGCACCAAACAGCAATGGAACTCCAGACCTAGTTCTACGAACCGGCTCGGCCTTCACTGACTGCGCGACCCTGGCCCGGTGACTTCAGTCTCCAGGCCTGTCTCCCCATACGTAAAATGGGAAGGTTGGCCGGGCCACCAGACGCTCCCAGAGGGTCTCTCCAGGGCGGGCACTTCCGGGAACACCACCGTGACACTCACAAGACCCGAGGTCCACGGGGAGGAAGGTCTGCCCTCATGCTACAACAGACGAAACACATTATCCCAGAGTTCAGGTGACTGCGACCCCGCCCCAAACCAAGGACGGGACGCACGTGGAAACACAGCCATCAAGGTCCTAGGTCTCCGCGCGTAAACCCGACACCGAGCCGGAGCCGGCACTTCCCCCGCCGCCCCCCAAACTCACCAACTGAAGGGCCAGTCAACGCCGCCCGCGCGTCCGCCACGCCGGCCCAACGCGCCTGCGCCAGGGGCGTGCCCGCCCCAAGCCCCGCCTCCTGACTTTATTGCCAATCACAAAGCCGCTCTCACGGAGACTGGTCCCCACCCCACCACTCTAGACTCCTGTGAGAGGTTTTCCGGAAGTTTAGCTAAGGAGAAAGAGCCCGGCTCTACTCCACGACCATAGATTGGCTTGGACAGCGAAGAGTAAATTACTGTTCCGGAAGTGCCCTCTAGGATTTAGGGAGGTGTAACTCTATGATAAAAGCCTGGGGTTCCCTCCCTCTGCCAGGGGCCTCCCCACTCTCGAAATGGAAAGGCTGGCTGCGGTGTAACCAAGGCAACAGTGGGCCTTTCCGTTTGGAATCTACCCTAGGATTTTACAGGCTTTCAATTTAACTACATTAACAATTTTTAAACAGAAAAAAATACCTTCATTACAAAGTCCAAGACAGTGTTTAAGACACTAAATCAAACTTTAATTCACAAAATATTTTTTTGAGCAGCTATCATGCACCAACCACTTGGAGAAACTGGGAATAGTGAACAAAACAAAATTCCCTGCATTCAAGGTGGCTTACATTCTAGTGAAAAGAGTCAATAAAATCAATACAGTGAAATTTGGAAGGGGAGCAGGAACTCAGTAACCAAAGGTAGTAGTATTTTTATGCAATTAATTAAAATTATTGTAAAAAAATCCATGGTAAACAAAATACCAAACTTTTAAATAAAGACAGGATCCATCAGTATCCATCCACAGAGAAAAAAAATAACTATGAAAAAGGAATGGGTTGGAGGTAGAGTGGTTGCAATTCAGGATGATCAGGGAAAGCCTCATCTAGAAAGTGACATTTTGGCAAAGACCTGCAGGTGAGAGAGCCTTGTAGCTGTCTGGGAGAAGAATGTTCTAGACACAGGGAACAAGCACACATGTCCCGAAGAGGGAGCTGTATATCATGTAACTCCAGCTAACTAAAACAGCTATAGTCTATTGAGTGCCTAAAATGTGCCAGACCCAGTGCAAGACACTGGCTCCAAGAAGCTCTCAGACCCCAAGATCTGCCAGGAGCAACATCATATATTCCGTGTAATAGGGGCCGAGGAAAGTCCTGTGGGAGTGTAGGGAAGGAGGAATTCACTGAGGAGGTGATCCTTGAGCTGAGCCTGAGGGATGAGTTGAGTTTCCCAGGACAAGAATGGTGGTGGGAGTGGAGTGGAATGGCCAGGCTGAGGGACCAGGACACTCAGGCAGGGAATTAGGAAATGAGCTGGTATGAAGGAGTCATGGGGTGTCAGAGGGTTTACTGCTCTCCTACCACAGTGCTTGCCACACAGGCCAAAACAGTGCTTCTCAACCTGAGCTGCACTGAACTCACCCTGTGCCCCGGTCCCCCTGCCCAGAGATGCTAGGTATCAGTCTGGGGTGGGACTTAGCATCAGTAGTCCCCCAGATGATCTAATGTGCAATCTGGGCTAGTTCTGCTGGTCTACAGGAAAGGCACTGGACAGCCTGGTGGGGCATTGGGTTGCAGGGGGCAGTGTCGATTGGTGTC